ACATCTGTTTTTTTCAAGACTGTTCAGAAAGAGATAATATACTCATTACAATAATTTTGGAGAATGCTAATGAGGACACTTGCCGGGTTACTGTTGCAGGAGATTTCTGCTCTCTTTCCCCCATCTCCTTGCTGGCTTGTCTTTGCTTTCTCCCCCAGCCCTACTTGCCATTTCCTCTGTCAGAGCAGCCCCACGCAGGCGTTTGTTTCAGCCTGTGCTAAAACGAAGGGATGGGGAAGGGCTGGTGTGGGAAAACAAGCATGCAAAGGCTGGGACTTCCTAAAGCACATCAGCTGCCAGCAGAAGGCTACTTCCTCCCACAACAGCAGGGCCTGTCTGAAAGTTGCACCTCCCACTCCTCTTCCTTGACACCCCCCCACCAAAGATTTCCAACCCCCCCCGGTATTATATCGGCTGCTTGCAAGCTCCATCTGAGAATCAGTGTCAAAACTGCTGGCGAGAGAGAGAGAGAGTGACAAGTAAATTTGTACAAGCTGGTTGGTGTTATGCATGCACGTTACCAGCCTTGGTCTGTCTTTCTCTCTCTCTCTCTCTCTCTCTCTCTGTATGTACACACACACACACACACACACATATATATACACACACATACACAAACATACATACATATATATGTACACACACACACCCCTAGGAATAAGGCAGCTCAGGACCCTCTGGAGGCAGCTGCTTTGCCAGCCTGGCTTGCCTTGCTGAAAGTCCCTTCACACCTTTTGAAGGCACACTTTGAGCCCATCTGTTCAGTGTGTTCGGATGGGAAACAGTTACATCGACAGATTTTCAACCAATAGGAGATGTAATCCTTTGAATTTCTGAATGGCCATATGCTTGTGTTCATCCAGTTAGAAGAAAATCTCAGCTTTCTTGAGTTAGAATTTGAGAGAGGCAGCTGAAGTAATTGATAAGTGGCAAATCAGAGCAAATTTGAATAAAGGTAGTTTCTTCAGAGCTATGCAGATATTGTTCTATTTCTCTCTAAAAAGTACTTTGCCTGGCACCTCCTAGTTCTGCGTAAAATTTTTTGAGTCATGTTGCACTAATGTCTGACAATTCCTTGGTGCAAAGTCCTCTTCTAGAACTCACTGTTAATGTTATTTTCACTATTAAGACATGATTATAAATTCTATTTTGTGTTTGTAATTAAGCATCTGCTTCAGAAAAGCAAGAGACGAGCAAACTTAGGAGAGTTTAGATCCATTACTTGTGATGAAAGCACATCTTCAGTGAAATCAAGGAAGAAGGAAGTAATGTAGGGAAGTCTTTTACGTGTAACACTTTTTCCCACATTTTAAATGAGTGTAATTATACAGGAAGAGTTATTTTAGAGGACCAGATACTTGTAAAGGATTTTGATGATTCATACTAATTTATTGCTTGTTTTTTTACCCATGTGACTACACAGTGACATATTATACTTATCAAGAGTGAGAGAATTTATTTCTGAATTGGGAATAGTTTTTTTAATCAGACTCATTAATGTAAGTAAAACTATATTTGAAAGTTCATTCAAAACTGAGTACTGGTGTATATTTAAGTGCGGTGTATGGTAGAGTTAAAGTATCCCCTAGTGTTTAACCCAAAGCATGTTTTATGTGTGGTTTTGTTTTGTTTTTTTAATGTTTAACAGTAACTGAAGCTGGCTTTGGTGCTGACATTGGGATGGAGAAATTCTTCAACATCAAATGCAGGGCCTCTGGCTTGCTTCCCAGTGTGGTTGTGCTTGTTGCTACAGTGAGGGCTTTGAAGATGCATGGAGGTGGGCCAAATGTAAGTTTTTGCACCTTTTTTGGAAAATAAAATTGGTGCTAATGTTTCAAATGAGTAAAATACCTTAGTTTAAGAAATAACGGGGATAGGTCATGGGACAGTATCCTCCCTGAGTTACATTATCGTATAGCTGTAACCTTCGAAGGCAATGCAAGAATAGAGAGGAACAAATGAAAGAAGAGGGGTGAAAGAGCTCTGAAGAAGTGCTAAACCTTGCTGAGAGAGCGAAGACTGTTTGCATGAAAAAATAATACTATAAAATATTTATATTCTTGTCCCTGCATCTTGAAATAGTGTTTGAAAGTGCACTAAAGGAGTCATAAGCTGGGAAACTTGACAGCTGAGGAAGAGTGAGAGGAGAGTTCAGGTTGCCGTATTTGAGCGGAGGTAGGGAACCTAGTGAAGGTTTTGAGATTTCTTTCACGGCAATAATGGGAACCCCTTCTGTCCTTTTAATGTGCTCAGGTTAATTCCCTCAGGGATGCTGAGGTAACAGATAAAGTTGTGTAAGTGTTTTCCAAGTGTAATGAAGGTCACCAGTGTGTCATTTCTTGCTCTTTAAGCTGAGAAGAGACTTGCACAGATTACCGATCCTAGAAGTATTCCCCAGTCATTCAATCAGACTAGTATTCTGCTAGCCAAGTAGACGCTAAAACCCTAGAAACATTCTTTTCTGCCTAGCAGCATGCAAGAAAATTATGCTGCCAGGGAAGCAGTCTTACTGGGTGAAAATACCGCAGCTGTTTCCACAGCCGCAACATTTTGGAATGCACCATCTTCCTTACAACTAATCATCTAAAGCTGAGCTTCTCCTTTTTCAGTCTTTCAGATGGTTGACATAATTACATAACTTTCTGCCATCTTAGCTCGCTTCTAATGAAACTTTTTTTTCTTTTATGATATTCCTCCATGCGTTTCCAAGGCTGGTTTATTGTCATGTGCATCATCAGTCAGTCTTGCAGAAACAAAACTTAAATATGTCTTCATAACTATATCTATTTCTGTTTGATCTGTCTTTAGAAGTGTAAAGTTTTTATTTGGTCACATGATGAATCATACAGGCATGTAGAGAAGCAGCTACTTTTACTGGGGGGTTATCTACAAAAGTGACCAAGATCAACACTTGGGACTGTTTGGTCCTGTACCCAGGTGATATTCTGTCTGTCCATCTTTGTGCTTTCCAGCAAAGGAAATTCATTGCATGCAGTCCCTTGCCTCAGGCAATTACAGGACGCCCAAAGATGCTGTTCCTTTTCTGATTGTCTGTGCTGAGTTGTTATTCCTTCAGCCAGCTGTCTGAGGTTGCTTTCCATCATGTTTGCACTGCTGGCGCACTGTTAAGCACATAGGAAGGGCCCGAGTTCTGTCTCCATATACCTGAGGTGACAACATCTGAATCCTTTCCAATTAACTATTTAAATATAACTTTATATTTAAATAGAAATGGAAAGCCATGTAAGTGAAAGAAAGACTTTTCAAGTCCTAAAAACAGTTTAAGCGACTCTTATTTGCGATTGAGAGCTCTGTTTTGCATAGTATTTGCTAGTTACATCCTGTGCTGTATTAAGGGTACAGCAGTCAACAACAAAAACCATATATGTCACTTTTTGTAATACGAGGTTACGTTAAGGCTTACCTTCTAAAAATTCAAATTAAATTAAAGGAAACTTTTACATACAAAACACTTTGTTCATTTTACACAATCTAGTTTTTATATTTGTCAAACTGAAATTTAGCTAACTTGCCCAAAGTCTCCTAAATGAAGACACATTCGCAACTCCCTCCTTTTTTACTCTGCAACTTTCCTTCAACTTTTTTTATCTGTTTTTCACATAATGCCAAAATATACAAGCTAGAAACAGAGCACAAACTGCTTAAATAACATTATACCATCTTTGTTCCTTCCCTGACTTGAACTTGTCCTGAACTAAATATTTGTAGGCAGTATTAGAGTCATTTCAAGCATATGGACATACCCTGAAGAGTGACCTAGGTCAAATGTGCATGGAAATGTTCTGGATATGCACGCAGTTTTGTCCTGCATCTGATTTGCTCAGCCTACTTATCCTCTAAGCTGGGTGTTTTGTGATTCTCACACTACTGCGACTAAACTGCGATTCAGCAACTACAATTTATGTTAATGTCCAAGTTGGAGAAAAAGTCAGCTTAAACTTCTGTATTTGTGTTTTCATGGCAGTAACATGTTCATGTCACCGAAATCGTCAAACTGGGTTTCAAATACAGAAAATTGATTTAAGGGATACAACAATGGTGCAGGTTTTTTGTTTCTTGGTTGTATATAGTCATTTTACTCTCTAAGAAATCTTTTACCACCAGTTTCTGAGTCACTACCTGTATCTTGCTGCTCAAAGAAAATGGGAAGTGTTGCTATTTACTAGCAACAATTTGCAATAGAACGTATATAATTTGCGATAAATTCTGCAGATTTGTAATGTAATTGTAATTTGTAATGTATTTACAAATGTAATTGTATTTGCATTGTGCAAATATAATTGTATTGTATAGATGTATTTGCAATGTAATTGCAAATTTCTAATGTAATTTGCAATAAAACAGAAGCTGATTTTCTGTGCACTGTGTGCGCTGATTAACAACGTAGAAAGTAAGCAAAGTGTGCTTCTGACTATTTAAGACTATGGCATGCGTTGTTAAACCTGCAGTGATTTTGACTTTTTATTATTCCAGGTAACTGCTGGTGCCCCTCTTAAGAAAGAATACACAGAAGAGGTAAGCGGAACTATTATAAAAATTTAGGGAAAAGTGTTTGCTTAAAAAGGGCAGCATAATATGGTGTAACTAGCATAACAACTTCTCCTTCCACTGGCTGGACGGTGTGCGGCCTCGGTGGTGTCGATAGCACACTCTAATGCTGGCGTTCAGTGAACTCCCTCAGCAGGCATTGCCAGTAAGTAAAGCCATCTCACCTTCCCCCAGCCACTTGGGGTTATCCCTCTTGTCTGTGCTGTGTGTGTGACTGGACGGTAGATTGGACTGAGGAGCTTGAACCAGCTGAAAAGTAACTCCTTTTTTTCCAGCAAATTTTCTGGGACCACTGAGCTCTCAGGCTGGTCACCTCTTTGTTCCAGTCCATCGCGCGGCCTCTCAAGCATTTCTGGCATTCATGGCACAAGGGCAGAGCGGTGCAGAGGTCAAAACTGGCATCTGAGATGGCCGGGTGAAGGAATGACACTCCCTGAAATTAATGACAGCTTAACCTGTTCATTAAACAACAGGTTTAATCTGTTTGTGCTTCGTGTCTGGCATTGAATATCACACTTCAAACAAGACTGGATTCTTTAACTTTTCTTTGTCCCTTCATTATAGACAAAGTCAAGTAGTTTAACTAGTTACTTGTGCTGTAGCTGCTGCCCTCCGGTTTTTGACAGTTTTGCAACCTGATCACCTTTAAGCCGAACATGCGTTCGAACAGCCACTTAAGTGCTTTGGTTCTGTCCGCTTAAGGATGCGTGCTTTATTACAGTTAAGAGAAGCCCTACACAGCATAAGATGAAAGAGCAGATAAGAAAATGCAGTCATGGGTTTTTTTTCTGGAACATGCATAGATTAGGCTGTGCATCTAACACATCTGTGTATCAAACCCCACCCCTCTACTGTAACTTGTTCATAAACTTTGCAAGAAACAGACAAATGGCCATTTATCATGACAGGCGACTCCAATATATTTGCCCAGTTATTTGCTCATTTAGTGTCTTATGCGTATAATATAGATCTTGAAGTTAACATAGCTTCAGAAAGTTTAGAAAGAAAGGGTATAAATTCCTATTTGACTATGCTTTCCATGGGGAAATGAGTAGGTGACGTTCTCAAAGCCCAAAGCCTCTAAGCCAGCAATTTTTGAGAAACTCAAAGATAGTAAATTTTCTGAAGTGTGTTTACAGATGCATACATGTTTTTATATATGACCTCAGTGAATGTTTACGGTGTTTGATATTCTCTATATTTTGAAGTCTCCCAAGTGGGTAAGTCTTATAAGCTCCATCTCTGTGGACCCCATCTAACGGAAGTCTTGGGGTGTGTACGAGCATCTGTGGCTTAGAAGACTTTTGGTTAGATCCGTCTCCGTGGCTGTGTGGCATTGCACAAAGGCGCATGATTTCAGTGCCTTGGTCCTGCACTGGAGTTTAGGAGGGGGATGAGGTGCCTGCTCTGCTTCGTGATTGATTGGTCTGCTGAGAAGGGGAATGAGAGGGTGATCACAAGGTGACCAGAGTAGCTGAGGAGAAAAAAAAAAGATCTGCCATCCATCCAGTAGTGACCAGCTTTGGCAGCACACCTCTGTTGTACCACTCGGTATCTCCTTCGGGGAGCCACCGGTCAGAGTTGGAGCAATAGGGCAGCAGGCAACAAGGCTGCCCATGTTTTGTGTGAATTTGGCCACAGACCATTTTTGGCATCCTTTGTATTTACCGGCAGCCGGTCATCAGCTGAACTATCTTCTTGTGTCACAGAAAGGAGCAGTCTGGCAGTGTATTTGTGTACAAGTTTGGACACTGCTTAGTCACTTAAATATGTCTGTTGCTTATTAATTGAAGTAAGAATTAATAGGGTAAGTACAAAAATATTTTGTCTGGAAGCATTTTACTTGCCCATAACTGTCAGGATCAGCCCTGTTTATATTCACTTTAATTTATGGAAAATTCTCTGGCTGGAGAAGACTTGATGCATCTTACTATTTCCATTCGTTTTTGTTTCATTGCACAGAACCTCCAGCTGGTAGCTGATGGCTGCTGTAATCTGCAGAAACAGATTCAAATTACTCAGCTGTTTGGAGTTCCTGTTGTGGTTGCTCTAAATGTCTTCAAGTAAGTCCATTCTTCCATTACTTGTGTGACTAAATCCACAGTTCAAGCCTGTAAAGTTTAAGCAGGAGGCATAGCTGTGCTGCCTGAATTACTGCTTTGTCTCTTATTTGTATGTATAAAGCTGGTCAGTGGGGACAGAGGAATTTGAATCAATATGGTCTGACTTTAAATGGTTTAAATTTAAGTTAAGACCTAAAGATATTACTGTATTCAGAAAACTATTATTTAATGTTACACTTTGAACTTTGTCTTTTCTTAGTTCTTAAATTAAGCGGTTTTGGCATGAAGAGAAGAAACTATTAAAGAATTTCTGTTTTTCATTTTGAGTATAAAGACCTTTAAATCTTTCACTGCAGCTTAAGGTTTTAATAACAGAGAAGATATATAACGTTATGGAAGTGTTAATGTTCCATGTTCATTAGTTATAAAAATTGTTAAAAGTGTTCTTGAAAGACATAAATATATGTGCTGTGCATCAGTGAGTGTGCTATGTATATGTCACAATTTTTGAATACACTTGGTTTACAATTGCATACCTAGATCAAGGCTAAGCGTATATGGTTATAAAAGAAAGCTAATTAAATAAAATCATGACACAGAATTTTTTGGTTGGCAGAACTGACTCTCCTGCTGAGGTTGATTTGGTCTGTGAGATTGCAAAGCGATCCGGAGCATTTGATGCTGTACCCTGCAATCACTGGTCGGCTGGTGGTAAAGGAGCAGTGAAATTAGCTCAAGCTGTGGAAAAGGCAGCCAGTCAGAAAAACAGTTTCAAATATCTATATAACTTGGAGGTAAGATTTGTTTTTTCTTTTTGATGAATGCATGCTGCATAAGTGTTGGATTTAAAACAAAAAGAATGTTGCAACAAAAGTGTCTAGCATACTTGGAGTTGGCTAAAATTACGAAAGCTGAAGACAAGGAACAATCTCTGTGACTTGTCTAGTCAGTACTGCAGAATACTCGCTGGGAGTGCCGGTTACTCACTGCGTTAGATCATGTGTCTGACACTTTCTTGTAACTTTCTGATACTTCTTGTGTAACATAAAAGTATATCTGTAGGGGGAAAATCCAAAAATTATTGCGGGAGAGTTCTCTCTGAAAATCTCACTATCCTGACAATCATCTAAAATGAAAATTTGCTAGTGTAAAATGAAAATCGCTAGTGCAATGTGTACATGCAACCCTTGGGTCCCCCCACATAGACCCTCAGGCTGCCGAGGAGCAGCCCCTAGTCCCCCTGCCCTGCTCCAGCTACTGGCACCTGGAGCGATGAACCCCTGCAGTTTGCGATGTCACTCCAGTTGCTGGCATGCAGGTCTCTCTTTCACCAGCTAGTCTGGCTTGGAGTTTGCTAGTGGTCACACGCAGACACCTGGAGCAGAGAGCGCAGCCACACAGAAGATACTCAGAAATCAGGTCTAATGAGAATAGAGGACAAACTACCACCTTTACTCGATCAGCCCATTCTTCCCCTTTGCCCTCTATTTCCCGCTCTCTTTCCTCCCCAATCCACTTTGATCCCTTCCTTTCCCTACCTTTGGTCCTTCCTTTATATACCACCTAATAAGTCTCACATATTCTCACAATCCCCTGAAAAAGTCCCATAATAAATTTCACACAATCACAAAATGCTTTTCCTCCTGCATCCCCTAATGAGTCCTTTACCCCAGTAGGCGATCACTCCCTTGCTTTGCAAAGCTTCCTGGGGAGAAAGCTGTCTTATCTTGGTGGATTTCACAGTAAGGACAGTGGTCTGATCCTTCCCCTTGGATTGTCTTTGGAAGGAACTGATTCAGACTATCCTGACAATCACTGATTAGGTTTTCACTGATTAGGTTACAAGAATTTCTTCACCTATTGTCATTCCTCTGATGCTTGCTTGGTCTTTGTGTTCAATTTGCCTAGCTGTTAGTCAGATATCCTAACAAAGGCTAGATTGGTGCCAAGTTTCAATTCCCGCTCTGCCAGAGATGGTGACTTCTTTTCCCAAGTTTTAGAGGCTTTGTTATTACAGTTGTCTGCAAGGTAACATCAATGAGAGCCTGTCGAGAGCTGCAGCTTGCAAAGAAAGGCTACTTGGAGCTCTGAAAGCACTAGTGTGGAATATCACTGTGCAGGCAGAGCCTTTGGAGGAACAGCGCCAAGAAAAGTTATACAAATGATTTCCCAAGGCTTTTCAGACTGTATAGATCTGGGTGGGTTAAAATTTGGGCAGTAGGGTAGACTTCTGTGGCACCAAGGAAGCCTATGTCAAATTTCAGATCCTGTGCCCCAATTGACAGTGCTACTTAAGTTTTTTCAGAAAATACTTAAAAGATATTTTTTTAACAGCAGAACCCTTGGCTTCATTCTTTTATATGGCTGAAAGTCCCTGTTTTGATTCCTCTAGCCAGAAAAAAGTTCAGCTTGAGGTAGATATGCCCTGCTATTGTCTCTCACTCTCCATGTCCTCCCTGAGATGAACCTCATTTCCGTTGCTCCCATTTTATTTCTTCTTTCCACCTCCTCCACCATTTTTCCAAATGTCAGTAATCTGGCCAACTCCTGTTAGTATTAAACATTGCCTTCACAGAATAGATGAAAATACCTTGGGAATAGAAGTGCTGCGGCATCTATTCAGGGCCTTTTGCCCACGCAATGTTTTTACAGCCAAACAATGAACAATGTATCTCACTTTCTGAGTTTCTTTAATGAGATGCCCTGGAAACTGAGGATATCATTTTATGGTTTTTGCATAATAAAACGAAAAAAAAAGTTTCTCTCAGAAACATGTATAGTAGTCATCCCCACAGGACGCTTGCATTACAGAGATAGCACATTAAAGCTTAGTAAATCCCATATTTAAGCTCTGAAGTTACTGTACTCTGTATAACCAGCAGTCTCGCAGTATGAATGAGTAGAAAGGATTGGTAGGGGGTTTTCTGTGCCTCTGTGAAGGAACAAAATGCTACTCTAATATCTTTCCCAGGCACATCTTCTTGTGCTGTGTTTCATAAGCAGCATGATCTTAACACAGAGGGAATGAATCACATCTTTACATCACCTTAATATCCTGTAACTTAATACAAATATTATAAGCCTCAAAAATATGTTGAAGGGATTTTGTAAAAACATATAAAATTTTAAAATATTGTAAAAAAAAAAAAAATTAACTTATGAACAAAAACAGTAAAAAGTGAAGTTCAGGCTTCTGTTTCATTCTTACTGTGCAAAGTATAGGGACTGAAGCAACTGGAAGTAGGAGAGTGAAATAGCAGTGCTGTCACTTGTAAAGTATGGCAGGTCGTTTGGTCACTGTGCTCATAGAGATGTGCAGGAAAGCAACATCTTCCAAGTGAGCCTGCGCAGGTATTAAGTAGGGATATAGAAGGAAGTTGTGGTGTGGCAGTTTTGAAGAATGAATCCTACTGCTCCAAGAGGTAACTATGATATAAAATTCAAGGAAGAGAAGGGCATATGAGACAGACAGATCGTTTCCACATGTCATTGTGCCTGAAGGGGACAGAAGTGAAAGGATGTAATGCCAGCCCTCAGCTTCCCAAAGAATCCACATTCATCTGATTACTTGTGTACTTTAGAGTCCTGGTTGCCTCAAACTTGATGAGGTGTGCTGTTTTTTTATTTATTTTTTTTTCTTCTCCCCTTTGAAAGGTTGAAGAGGGAAGTATTGTTCAGAAGACCACTACCACTTCATTCATATCTCTACCTGTCTTTCTAAGATTACTCTGATTTTCCTTTTAATCCATCTCTCTTATATGTGTCTTATTTTTCCTGTATCTGGAAAACTTCATCAGTTTTTACTCTTTTTCTCTTTATAATGCTTTGTTTAATTTCCAAATGTGTGTCTATATATATCTGAAAACAAAGACTTCTTTGAAAGGTGTTTACAAATGTATGTAATGTGAGAGGAGCAAGAAACAGTCTTTTCTACGTGGACTGATCTGTCAAATACTGCTAAAAAGCTGAACATCACCATTTTATTTTGTTGTTGTTGTTGTTAAAGCTTGGGGTATGTTTCAACATTTATACTGCGCCTGTCCTTTGATACCTAAGCATGAGCTGAATGAGCAGATTTGGACACTGGACAAACACAGTTGTATCAGCTCAGGACTCAGACTCGACTAGGTGGTCCTGCAGCGTATCAAGGCATGCTAGGCTAATTAGGGGGTTATGCTAGTGTGATTATGTGACGTCTCAGTTGGTCTGTTTAAGCTTTCTCAGGTGTCTCTCCATGACACAGTGCACGGTGTTGCACAGTTGCACTTTTGGCTTGCCCTTCAGATTCTCTTAATTTATTTCTGTAAGAAGACAAGTTTTTATTTTTGTCCTAGCAGCTGATGCTTGTAACATCTTCTTTTATTACTTTTTGATTCCAGCAAGTGTTCATTTGACATGTGGCATTAGATGCAGTTTTTTTCAAGAGCTGACATGAGAGCAGGATAAGTTTCAAGCATGTTTTGAGACAGTTTCTTCTGAGAAGAATAGCCGCATATATGATTTTGGGAGTGTGTATGTATGACATATGTATGACAGGACGGTGTCTTTTCATGGGTCAAGTACAAGAAGTGGCCTCTGACAATTAACTCCAGCATTGTTGTCATTTTACAAGTGCAAGAAAAGGGCATCAAAAGATAGTAATGCTTGCAGCATTAGGAATCAATCATACTTGGAAACCTGACGGAGAGAGAGGGGCAGTCAGGAGCAAGGCTGAGATTTTCATATGATAGACTTTGGAGGTTATAACATAGTTTAAAAGATGATTAGCAGTACTCATAATAAATTATTCTAGTGTGTGGTTTTACTATGGGTTTTTGTCTGCAGTGTACAGTAACCCCTCTTACTTTATTGTTGAATCAGTTTCTTTCACAGTATTTTCCTTTAGTGTTTGGAGGGATGGGTTTGTTGTAAAGGCCTCATGAACTCTCTATGAAGCAATCTGCACTTAATTTTTTTTAAATATATATTCTTGCTACATGTGGAAAATATCAAAATATCAACTCTCTTATCAGTGTAGACTTCCTTTCTAGGTTCACTTTTCTTGAAGTATGAGTCTTGAAGTTGCAGCAGAAAGCTATAACTCAAAGTAAGTTGACTGACCTATTAAAAGTAAGTTTAGATAAATAGGGGGAGGATAGGAGAGGATGGAAACATACGCATCCCATTCCCAAATTTCTCTGGCTTCAGTGCTTGCCCTTGGGGAGGGGGGAAGCTATATTCCCCAAGAATGCATGCCTGGAGAGTAACCTATCTGCTTTTGCTATCCAGCACAGTGAAACGTCTGTGCTTTTAGAAAGGGAACATTTGGGGTCTCGTCTCTGCTCTTGTGCTGAACTCTCTCATGACTGCGGCAGCCCTCCTCAACCATCTGAATGAAGGCAGGCACTAGTCTTTTGCGAGAGAGAAACACTGCTCCTTCGTACAAAACAGTCTAACCAGTGTGGGCCAAAGCTCCGGGAGGCAGAAGGGAGGAGGAGGACAGGCATATGGCATGAGGAAATATTAGGGATCTGGCAGGATCAGTAGATCTGATCAGTCAGAGATTTAGTATTGTCCCTTTAAAAGGTGGACGTGATGGACTGACAGAAGTGATTGATGAGCCTCAAAACACCTGATTTATGCTGCATGGGGAAACTAAATTAACTAGTGCGAAGGTCACAGAAGGAAGGAGGAGAAAAGGTTGTTCCGGTCATCCAAGTTCTTCATATGACACCCATTCTTGCCGATGCTCTTCCTCGAGATCATATCACGACAAATGAAAATCTCTTTAAGTTATGCTGCAGAAATTGGTCAC